TCTTATTTATCAATTTCGTCTTCCTCTTTATTTTCTATTATTTATTTTTTCTCATCTTCTCATATTTCTCTTATTCATCTCCTCATACCTTATTTAATCTTATGCTCATGTCTTCGTCTTCTCCTTCTATTTATTCAGGTTTTTCTTCTTAATTCATCTTGTTCTTCTTCATCATTTTCTGTTATCAATCTTCTTCTTCTTGTTTTTTTATTGATTTTCATGTCTTTAGCTTCTTCTTTTAGACTTTTGTAACATCTTATTTACCAGTTTTTTTTCTTCTTCTTTATCTTTTTTTTTTTAGGAATACAAACTATTAGACAAATACATATTCAAAAGACAAAAAAGAAAATTTGTATGAATATGATTTTATATCACTATAGTAACCCAAAAAAAAAGAGAGGAGAGCAAATATATGATGCATCAGATTTTGAATGTAAGAGCTTAAAACATATGTATAATATTAATATTCTTTCATGTGCGTGATAACATGAATCGGTTTAAAAGCCTAATTCTTAAGTTTGGGGAAATCTAGGCAAACATTACATTAGTAATTCAAAAAGTTATATGACATATTATGAGTTTTCAATAGTGATCATGTCTATTCAGATTTCAGAGATGTTTCTTTCTTTTTGTTACTGTTAGAATCTGTAACTCCGAAATTATACAGCAAAAAAAAAACAATTTCTTAGTAGAGAGATTCTTTCGCGTATCCGTTTTTGAGAGCTTTCTCTTATTAGTTTTGGGATTCTTCTGTTGCGAGCTACTTTGAATCAGAAACTCTTTTGTTTCTTGTTCGGATTTGGCTGCAGAATCTGAAGTTAAGTGCCTTCTCGCTTAGATATTTCTTATCCGTAGAAATCATTTTCCTTCCACTAAGAGATCACTGACCACATCATACGCTTCAAGTAGATGAGTTTCTTGCTTTTCCATGATATCGATCAACCACAATTCACCCACGACCATAAGACTTTGTTCCGTTAAGGCACAAGTAACAACACCAAATTGACGTTATATTTGTTGAATAAAAGGAAAAGAAATTCATATTGATGTTTCAAAGCTACTATGATTCTCTTATACTTACTATCTTTTAATGTGTTTATTTTAGATTCACATTTTATGTAGTGAGAATATGGTTTCTTCTAGATTATCAAACAAATTCTACAAAAATCTTAACCCTTAAATATAATTCTAGTATGATCACCATCTCTAGCAAGATGCCAAGAATCAGAGTCACACCTTACTCAATTAATCAATTCAATGACCCACACTAAGGAAGGAACATGATTAAGAAATAGAGATCATATCCAAAGTAAATCTGCAAAACACGCGAAATAAAATAGTTCCATGATTCATTAATGTTTGCACCAAACGAAAGAAACTAAGCATATGAAAATGTGACTTTGATATCACATTGTTAATGCCAGTAAATTTGTTAAAGAAAGAAAACAGTGTGGAAAACATAGTTTCTACATTTTATAGTTAAAGTGGGAATGTAATATCTTACTTCCATATCTCAGTAAAACTCATTCCCGCATTGATTCCAACAGTCCATTCGCCAATAAACTATCCATGTTTTTTGCTGATATCCATGTTTCCTAAAGGGGAACATGTATAGCGAAACATACATATGCAGAAAATAAATTCTGTACAATTTAACTAAATTACTTGTAAGATATGTTGAACCTCAGACAGAGCAGAATCCACAACTAAAACCAACTTAGTTATATAGAAGTATCTGTAATACACGAAGCAGCTTAACCAATTTAAGAGCTTGAATGTCATTGATTAATCATGATTATCATACAAACATATTTATTTGGAACAACTTTTGCTTACCTTTACAAAAAATTTCTACGACATCTAACTCGATGGTAACAAAAAAACTTTTTTTTCTTAAAGTATTGTATTAAATTAAACTCAAAGAGGAATGCCAAACCAGAAATACCCCAGAAATATCAAGGCTATTTTTAATCACCTTTTGAAAGTTTGTGCAATTGTGCTTCCCATATGTTATCTCTTTATGATCTGTAACCTTCAATTCTTCTTTGTAACCTAAAAGGTGATGCAATTACAAAAAATAGATCTAAGATTATAACAGTTAAACAATTATATACATAGAACATGCTTGCAAAAATAAATTACCTGTTACGTCTAAAAAGGATTGTGAGACATCAGCGTGATATCGTCTTCAAGCTGTAAGAACTCAAAAATTAGTTCACAATCAATCAGAAGAAGTAAGAACTCAAAAATTAAAAATCACGTCTAAAAAGAAGAAAAATGTATTGTGATATTTTGCTTATTGGTATCTATTATATAGGAGAAAGTCGATCAAAAAATTTAGGGTTTGTTTCCTTTTTTTCCAAAATTGTGGCATGATAATATGGTAATTATGGTCTTTATCCTAAAATATTTTAAGGAAAAATATAATTCGTGAATAATAACAAAAAAAAAAATTTCAAGATTTAATAATAAATTTTCATTAAAGATATGTGGATAATCAACCAGCTGAGATTGAATTTGGTGCCTCTAAACGAAATTTTCACTTCGTGCAAATAATATATTAGATATATAAATTAGCATAAGAAGAAATAGCGTAGACCAAACGCTTATCACGAAATCTTTCGTAAGTGGATTTATTCCAAATCCCTCAAACAATTCCAATTTATTTTATTTATTTTTTTACATATTTATGGAGCTTCGCGTATATATATTCTCAACGCTAAATCAGAGCAAGATTGAGAGAAATCAAAAATCCTGAGCGAGAAAAAAGTAAAAAAAAAAAATGCAGATCTTCGTCAAAACCTTGACCGGCAAAACCATAACCCTAGAGGTTGAAAGCAGCGACACCATCGACAATGTCAAAGCCAAAATCCAGGTCTATACTCCTCTTCTCCCACTTCGAATTCCGACTTGTTCCTACTTCTTCCATGTCTATTCGCCTTTTTAGGGTTCTAGGGTTTTGGACTGTGAATTTCATATCTAATCGTTGGAGGATAAGAATAATTCATTGATTTTAGGTTTTCCTTCTCGGATTCTGTTTTCTAGTTATCGATAATAAGTTGCTGGTTGGTGAAGCGATCTCAGAGTCTCGATTGATCGAATTTAAGAACCCTAAGATCACTCTTACTCTTTCATGTGTTTGCTTAATTTCGTATTTGAAGGATTTTTCCCCCAGTAGTAGATATTTCCTGTATCTACTTGTTGGTAATTTGGATGAAGAATCTCGATTTGAATTGCTCTAATTGTTTGTGAGATTGATAAAATTTGATCAAAGTTGATGTTTTTACTGACAAAAAGGTCGTTTGATTGGGATTGTTGCGAAAACAGGACAAGGAGGGGATTCCACCAGATCAGCAGAGGCTGATATTTGCTGGGAAGCAACTAGAAGATGGAAGAACGCTAGCAGACTACAACATCCAGAAAGAGTCGACTCTTCACTTGGTCTTGAGGCTCAGGGGTGGGACCATGATCAAGGTCAAGACTCTCACTGGTAAAGAAATCGAGATTGACATCGAACCCACCGACACTATTGATCGGATCAAGGAACGTGTTGAGGAGAAAGAAGGCATCCCTCCTGTTCAACAAAGGTATAAATAACACTTCTTTTTTCCCAATTAACTTCAAAAGTATTGAGCTGCAAAGTTTTTGTCTATCTTTGTAGCTTCTATGTTGTTCTTGTTGCATCGAGCTATCTGTCTTAGCTTGTTTAGGGGTTTGGTAGCGGTTCAGTCAAAACGGATTCTTTGCAGCTCTTTTGCTTTCTTGTGTTTTTGGCATTAGCATTTGTGGGATGCTTATGCATGTGATGGATATTTTTGCAGGCTCATCTACGCCGGAAAACAGCTGGCTGATGACAAAACGGCGAAAGAGTACAACATTGAGGGAGGCTCTGTTCTTCATCTGGTTCTTGCTCTTAGGGGTGGTTTTGGTCTTCTCTAAGAAGTAAATCGTTGTCTTATTTGCCTTTAGTGTTTCCTTTCTATGGCTTGGTGTTTGACTTCATGAGAAGAAGGTGAATACAATTTGGATTTGATGCTTTGATTAATATGCTTTTGGAATAATCTGTTCAAGATTGGATCATACATATAAATATTTATTTGGATTTGGTTATCTGTGATGAATGAATATCTTCTAATTTCATGAAAGAGTAATACAAAGGGTTTTCAAATGCTAAAACTGAAAACAAGTTTGTCTTCTATATGAAGAAGACGTGATCAAACATCTAAACATAACAGTATCAATATCCAAGAGGGTAAATGTGTGTACTTGTGATGAAGAGTCTATGGTTGATCTTTGGCCTTCTCATCCTCACCTATATCACATTCCTTTGATCCTTTCAATCAACAAGAGGATAGCAAGTTTAAGTTTGTTATGTTTTTAGATTCTCGGTAGTAGCCAGAAGCGAGAAATGGAGACCGCCCTCACTGAACTGGCTCAAATGTAATAGTCATGGACAGATGAAGCATGGACTAAACAAAATAGGCATTGTGCGATAGGCTGGGTGGTACTAAGAGACCATCAAGGAAAGGAGAGAACGACCAAATACAAGTTCCCTGTTACATACCGAAGCAGAAGCATTGAGATGGAACTTGAATCAATTATCAAAACGTCATACTTTGAATTGGATTCAAAGAAGCTCCTCCAAGCATTATTGGTTCACGGTTCAGCCGGTCGGACCAGACGGCCCGGTCTAATCACTGGTTTAAACTTAAAACCAAGATATTATTGGTCAATGAAAGTTTGATGTTGGAGCAACAAAAAAAAAAAAAGAAAAGAATCAAAAGTGTCCAAAGAATTTTGAACAAGCTAAAGACTGATGTTGACAATGCTCAGTCAACCTGATACAGTAATAAATAGGGGAAAACATGGGTAAAATTTTAAAATTTACCAAAAAACCGCATGGCTGTAATTTTTAACCGGAACCCACTAAAACCCTAAATACTCTGTGCGCCAAAGCTGTTTCACTCTCTTCGTCGTGCATCTAATTCTGGAATCACAAAATGGAGCTCAACTTTTCTTCAATGGCTTTAGCCAACAGCAAAACCCCTTGTTTCGGCCTTACACCCACCGGAACATTCTCAAACTCATCGAAATCCCTCTCCTTTGCTTCTCACCATCCGCTTCCGAGAGTTTCATTCTCTGTTTCTTCTACTGATTCACTCAAGCTAATGACTTCGAGAAAGGTTAGAACTTTCCCTCCCCCACACTAATCTGCTCTTTAACCCGATTTTGTTTATGTCGAAATCTAATTGCTCGGATGCGAATTGCTAACAAATGGATACTCTAGGTGATGGCAATTGCTGCGGCAAGCTCCAGGGACTTGGAGATGTCGAATTTAACAGCTTTATCGCCTTTGGATGGTCGTTACTGGGGTAAAGTTAAGGAATTGGCCTCTTCCATGAGCGAGTTTGGTTTGATCTATTTCCGAGTACTTGTCGAGGTACTTGTTTCTCAAATTTAAGCTTTTTGTTACTCCCAAGTCAAGGTTTTGTGATCTCATTCATTGGTTATATATATGTTCTTAGATCAAATGGCTTCTGAAGCTTTCGAAAATCCCTCAAGTCACGGAAGTTCCAAGCTTTACCAAAGATGCCGAGGTCTACTTGCAAGGCATAATCGATGGGTTTAGCATTGAGGATGCGTTGGAAGTTAAGAAGATCGAGAGAGTAACAAATCACGATGTGAAAGCAGTGGAGTATTTCTTGAAACAAAAGTGTGAATCACATCCAGAGATTGTCAAGGTTTTGAAACCCTTCTTCTTACTTAGCTTTTTTCAGGCTTGATCCAATTCTTTTATCCAATTTCTTTGATGAATCAATTTCAGGTTCTTGAGTTTTTCCATTTTGCTTGCACCTCTGAGGACATCAACAATCTCTCCCATGGTTTAATGCTTCAAGAAGCACTTACTTCTGTTATACTTCCAACCATGGATGAGCTGATCAAATCAATCTCTCTCATGGCTAAGGAATTTGCATACGTCCCCATGCTTTCAAGAACTCATGGCCAGGTACTGATGTCAAAAAGAAACGATTTACATCGTTGTGTTAATGCAATTGGTTATGATTTTGATTCTGTCAATTTCCTTGTAAATGCAGCCAGCTTCTCCTACAACTTTGGGGAAGGAAATGGCGATTTTCGCTGTGAGGTTAAGCGAAGAAAGGAGATGTCTTTCAGAAACCAAGATCAAGGGGAAATTTGCAGGTGCTGTTGGGAACTACAACGCTCATATCTCTGCGTATTCTAATATCGACTGGCCTCATGTTGCAGAGGAGTTTGTTACTTCTCTCGGATTAGCATTTAACCCATATGTCACTCAGGTATATATAGGTTCTCTTGAGCAAACGAGTTTCTTTGTAATTTCATAAAGATATTCTCACTGATTGGTTGTTCTTGCGGTTCTTGCAGATTGAACCTCATGACTACATGGCTAGACTTTTTAACACAATAAGCCAATTCAACAACATCTTGATTGATTTCGACAGAGATATATGGAGCTACATATCTCTAGGCTACTTTAAGCAGGCAAGTGGAAAAACAAAAACAAAGCTTGAATCATTTGAATGTGAATGTGAATGGTAGAGAATCATTCATCTCATTGTTTGAATTTTTTTGAAAGCAGATAACAAAAGCTGGTGAGATCGGATCATCGACAATGCCTCACAAAGTGAATCCTATTGACTTTGAGAACAGTGAAGGGAACCTAGGCAAAGCAAACGCAGAGCTTACTTTCCTCAGCATGAAGCTTCCCATTTCACGAATGCAGGTTGGTTAGAGCATTTTCTCTATATACTTTGCTAGAGCGATGGAAATGAAACTAAGCCTGAAATAATGTAACAATCTCTGCAGCGTGATTTAACCGATTCAACTGTGTTGAGAAACATGGGTGGAGCTTTAGGACACTCTCTTCTCGCTTACAAGAGCGCGATTCAGGGGATCGGGAAGCTTCAGGTATTGTTCTTGTAAGCCCTAAAGAAATGTTCCCACTTGTTTCATAGGCTAAGAATGTTCTTGAAATAGGTTAATGAAGCTCGGTTGAATGAAGATTTGGATCAAACTTGGGAAGTCCTCGCTGAACCGATACAAACTGTAAATTTCTCTCTCACATTCTTAGTCTTCTTTGACGACCTAGTTTTGCCTATGTATAGCTGATTCACGGATGTTGTCATGTGGTGTTATAAAAGGTGATGAGGAGATACGGTGTTCCAGAGCCGTATGAGAAGCTAAAGGAGCTAACAAGAGGAAGAGCTGTGAATGAAGAAAGCATAAGAGAGTTTATCAAAGGTTTGGATTTGCCTGAAGATGCAAAATCTCAGCTTTTGAAGCTGACTCCACACACTTATGTTGGAGCTGCTGCTGCATTGGCTTTGGCCGTCGATGAAGCTTTGCACTTGGGACATTGATGATTGATCAGATCGGTGATAGGTTTGTGATTCTTGTATTATGGTTTTTCTTTTCCAAATCAAATGGAAAAGCAAAAAAACTCGGTTTTGAATGATGAGTAAAATCTTGTACTGCTGTTTTCCCCTTAAGATTTTTTTTGATGATCACAAATTTAGTCAAGAGCCTCTCTTTTTGTCTGAATTATGAGTTGTGGTTCTAAAACCAAATAAAAAATCATGGTAATAAAATATAAAGAAAAATGAGTTATGTTGGAGTCGTGTTATTCAATCTATGTATTTAAAATCAATATACAGTAGAAACTCTATAAATTAATAATGTTGGGACTTTGATATTTTATTAATTTATAGAGTTATTAATATATAGATTTTGACTAAAAAATATTATTAAAAAAAAGAAAATTCAGTATTAGTAATCTTTTAATTTTTCCTTCCATTTTAATAAAAAAAATTCCACGTATACGTAAATTTTCTTAACTTTTTTGAAGTCTTTATGTTTGCTTAATACATTTTCTCATACTTACCATATTGTGATAAATTTCATAATGTTTAGTGTGTGAGAGATTCATATTTTAGCAACTAGATATTTTAGGTATATATATATATATATATAAATTTTTTATATGATAATTATTAATTTATAATATTATTGGGACCATATTTTACATAGGAGTTTAGAAAAAGTTATTATCTTATTATCTTATCGAATTATGTCATATTTTACACCGGCCCAACTCGGGATCGGAAGAATTTATTAATTTATCGCGTTTATTAATTTATCGAGTATTAATTTATAGAGTTTATACTGTAGTTGATTCTGAAATCAAGTATCTGCAATATTGAATATTGATTGGATTCTATTTGTAATAATGTACACATGAAACTACATTGTAATAATTCATTTTAAATGATTTAATAAATAAAGATTTTAAAAGTCATTTAATTTTGAATAATACTAGATTTTAAAATAGAGTTAAAATCTTGATTCAATAACAATAATTTGAAAAATCTTTTGATGATAAATTAGTAAATTACAAATAAGATATCTAATAACACTGAATTTAGAAACATAATTTATAATCTTAAATTGAATAACAAACATCCAATAACACCACCGATCCATCGTTATTTAATGAGTGTTTTTTTTTAAATCAAGTGTTATGGATCAAAAATCTGGACATTTAATTGCATGGATTGGTCAAATAAAGTGTTTATCAATCAAGAGCTCTAAATAATTATAAATATCGTCTTTATTAAAAGTATAAAATATGTATATAGGGTCCACCAAAAGAGAAGATAACCGTTGTGATTCGAACGTTAAGCTTTCAAGACATAAACGTTGCGGACCAGACAGAATCGGATTCTTCCTACACATCACACATGTATATATAAATATGTCTATATGAAATAGAATCAAAGCAAAACCAATAGTTCAAGAAAAGCAAAAAACCAATCAGAGAAAGAAGATAGATCACAATAGATCTCAATATCGATGGGTTTGGTGGTGGTCATATCTCTTCCTCTAATTTTCTTCTGTCTTCTTCTTGGATTCGGCTGTTACTTCCTCGGGAAATCTCGCGGCCGTCGAGAGATCCACACAAATCCTCAGGTGTACGGCGCTCCTGCTCCACCTCCCGGTGCAACCATCTCCACCACCTCCTCTCCCCCGTCATCTCCTCGTACCAAGCACGACAACTCACACAATGTCTGATTTTCCATCTCTCTCTCTCTCTCTCTTGGAAGATGATTTTGTTTGATTTATTGTCAGCTGCTGTAACCTTCTTAATTTGTGTATTTCCTTATGCCTTTGTTGTGTAAATAAGAGAGCCTTATGGTTTATCAGAATTTGTTTACCCATGATTTCAAGAGAAACCGACCAATCAAAATATATGAGAAGTTAGTGTTACTAGTTCAACGAGTGAAACCTGATTTACATCAACCAAAATCTCATCTCGGAACTAACTACCAATATATATGGGAAAATGAGAAGAAGAAATATATTAATTACTTTTGCCCTTCAAGTAATAGATGAGGTTTTCACACAAATAAAAATAAAAAGAATAATAGATGGGGTTTTAACTTTGAAAAAGAAGTGAACAGTCTTAATAACTAGTGTTTAGTAGTTTGAGTTTTTTGTTCATAAGTTCCATGACTAAATTCGTATTTCAGTTCAAGAGATCTTGTTTTAAAAATGGTTGTAACTATTCAAATATTACAGTAAGTCAATTGTAAAAGATATGTAACATGATTCGTAACCAGCGAAATGAAAAACGATTTTGTAATTCAACTGCTTTTTTGCCTATCACACATTTTTGTGGAATTGCAGTTTCCATCCATTCGGCAACGTTCATGAAAGACATAAGTGTGAAACCGTTATTATGCGTATCAAGATCGACATTGGTAAACAGTCTTTTAACTGTCACTTGGTTTGTGAATTGTGATGGAAACTCATGAAATTTCACAATCGTGAATGTAAATTAGAAAGTTTACAAGTGGCTATAGCTCGACTGGTAAAGGGAACCTAGGCAAAGCTTAGAGGTCATCGAGTGCTGCTTGGGACGAAACCAATATTACATGATGTGGTTTCGGGCCTAGGGAATTACGAGCTTCGGCCAGAACCTCCTAGTAATTCAAAAAAAAAAAAATTATAAAGTTTACAAAAAGAAGATTAACACAAGGTAAACATAAACCGAAATACCTTGTGTTACAGTTTTACAGACAAACCTAGAGATGCGGTTGTGGTTTTAGGATTAGAGCTATTGTGCCCATTGCTAACTACAATGAGAAGGACAAGACGTTTGTGTATCAGGAAGAAGGGACTGCTGTTTTTAAGCTGTACGCTGTACATTCAGGGCATGAGCCCGGGGCGATGGATGGGAATGCGAGAATCATGCATCGGGTTGTTGGTCATAAGGGTTTTCTGATGGATCAGGACACAGTCTATGGAGTGAGGGAGGAGTTAGAAACCGAAGGGGTTGGGTTGATTGCGAAGGATGATGGTGGGGATATGCATTTTGCTGTGATGCATCAGGTTCAGGAGCTAAGGAGTGAGCTTGGGAATCTAGAAGGAAAGATTGGGAAGATTCCACAAGAGATGTTGGGTTCAGTGTCCAGAGAGTTGTTTGAGATGCTCAACAAGATCAGGAATATTGGTGATGAGAGTGTGAAGGGCACAACAGGGTTGATTTCTGACAAGGCGCACTCTGATGAAATACTTGTTGGAGATAATGATTTAGCGCATTGGAGTGACCATCACCATGAGCATATATATGGAGATGGGAAGGATGCAGAACTTATTGAAGATGATGAGGATAGTTTTGGGAGGAGCCTTGATGATGTTGTTCCTTGGGAGCAGATAAGGCCACCGTCAGGGTGTAGAAGTCCAAAGGATCTCTTGTCTGAGACATGTAAGCCTGAGAAATGGTTGAAGTGCAATGACTTTGATGAGAAGAGCATTCTGAATTGTGAAGATTCTAAACTAACAAAACCGATGAGACACGGTGAAGGTATAGTAGCAGATGTAGGTTTAGTTGGTATACAAGTCGATAGCTTCTATCAAGAAAACGCCAAATGGTATGATTCTCCTTGTGGTTTGGATTCAAACACGGACTGTGAAGACAATGGATTCAGCAGACACGGGGAGATTTTGTAGAAACACGGTATGGTTCTCGTTATAACCAATTTCTAACTCTCGATCTCACACTTCTCGTTATGCATATCAATCCCCTAATTCGTAACCGGGGATCAGATTGTATATTTATGTATTCTAAAACACGGCTTCAGGGATTTTTTGTTTGTTTGTATGTTGTAGGAGTTTCTTTGTTGTGTGGTTATGTAAAGTGAAACCCTGAATGTTTCTCTGCATATATAACATTGGTAGTTTATATAACCAAGCTTTGTTTTCTCACTTTTTTTAATTATTTGTGAAGTGGTAATCTTTCGCATCCAAATCACTTGCATGTACGCACCTTATGGGTCTCAGAGTTGACCTGGAACAACCTCGTTCTTGATAAGTTGATATTGGGACATAGCTAAATATTCACGGATCACATACACAAACAGGACACATTTTGAGCTAAATAAATGGATAACAAGATATCACAGTGGAGCACAAAAACAGAGAGTTTAATACACAAAAGATAATGCCAAAGTGTTAAGACAGAAAACCAACACAGCCCTGAATCGGCTAGTAGTGGATACACTGATGAAAAGCTTCGTCATCTTCACCAGGATCATCGGCAACTTCACCACAATCATCGGGATTGAAGAGTATCTCATTGCGTTCTCCACGAGCTAAAAGGGTTCGATATTCGGCATTGGGGATAGGCTTTCCTAAGACTTGTACGTCTTTCCAATACCATGCCTTCTTTACACAAGGAATATTGACTTCTTCTGGTTTGACATCATCAGGGACAACTACGAAAACACTGAAATTTACTGAATTCAGACTTTCAAGATAACGGACATACTCAGTCTTCTCCTTGATGTTTTTGGCCACTACCACCACGTTTCTTGGGAGAGGACAACCTTTCGGAACGTCCAAAACCCAAAAACCAATGTTTACTAACATCTTGTTAAGTCTCGAGTATTTATCACCTGTAAAAATAAACCAAGATCAAGATTACAGATACATATAGAGCGATTAGGGTTTTAAAATAGAGTAGAGAGGAAATCAATCTTACTTGTCTTTACGAAGGTGGATCTATGCATGTCGGCAAATTCAGTCGTGAACTGATGCTCCCCACCATAAACCCTGATTGACACCTCAGTCTCGTTACACTGTTTCTTAAAAGTAGACTCGACAATCTCACGAATTCCGCGACCTAATTGGGGGAATGGGAAATCATCCACGTCCCAGAACACGCCTGTCCTACCAACTGCCTTCAGGGCACCTTGTGAAACCTTATCCGTATTGGTTACGGTCGGGGAACCTCCATCAAGCAGAACATTCCAACGCCACACAAAGCTTGCAGAATCTCCAGGTGGAAACGAGGAGTCATCGGGCACCACAAAGAAGACCCTGCAACCTCTCATTCTCAAAGCCTCCGTTACATCGAACAACTCAGTGTCTTGATCCGGAATGTCTTTTGAAGCGATGAGTATATTCACATTATCGGGACGAGGCGTCGTGCGAGCAAACTCAAGCATGTCCACTAGCATCTTATTGAGTCTCTCAAGTTTGTCAGCCCGTCCGTATTCGAGCGAGATTCTGGCATTGTAAAACGTGTTAATCTTTCGATCGGTTAGTTCTACATGGTTTCTCACTTATTTGTAAAGTGATAATCTTTTGCATCCAAATCACTTGCATGTACGCACACGTTTTGGGTTTCAGAGTTGACCTAGAACAACCTCGTTCTTGATAAGTTGAGATTGGGACATAGCTTTGTGGAAATTTTCTTTTTCCAAACTGTGGGGATATTTTGACGCAGTTCTGTAATGATCCTACACAAAAGCCTATATTTTCCAAAACATATTCACTTTTGACCAATGTTGTCCGGAATAGTTGAGGATATTCTCTGTTCTATGAGCATATCGATCCATAAACAATCTCATTAACCTATAGGCCTATATACCAAGGGAAACTTAGGCTCCAATAAAATGCTAATTAACAACAAAATTACATAGGTAATTTAACTAGGCTTACTCCTTTTCAGTAGGCGTTTAACACTAGTGTCCAACGTAAACATGAATGAGGAACAAGAAGCACATAACTAAAAACTCCCAAGTCTTTGGTGTGTTTGGCACAATGAAAATAACAAGTTCAGGGATCCAAGTGAAATTCCACACATAATACAAAAGAGGTATCATTCTCCGACACTTGTCTGCTTGTAACGTTTCTCGGCACCTTGTGAAACTTTATCCGTATTGGTTACGGTCGGGAAACCTCCATCAAGCAGAATATTCCAACGCCACACTAAGCTTGCAGAATCTCTAGGTGGAAACTGGGAATCTGAGGAGTCATCAGGCACCACAAAGAAAACCCTGCAACCTCTTTTCCTCAAACCCTCCATTACACTGAACAGCTCAGTGTTTTGATCCGGCATGTCTTTTGCGGCGATGAGTAGATTTACATCAGCGGGACTAGGCTTCATGCGTGCAAAATCAAGCATGTCCAGTATAATCTTGTTGAGTCTCTCACGTTTTTCAGCCGGTCCGTGTTCGAGCGAGATTCTGGAATTGTAAAAGGTGTTAATCTGTCGATCAGTTAGTTCCTCACCATAAGCATAGATTGACAGATCACCAACAGAAGCCTTCTTCGTAATAGCTCGTTCGACTTCAAAATAAAATTTACGCAACTGGCGATCGCGAGGGTAAGGGAAATCCACGAGGTCCCAGAAGAGGCGCGTGTTCAAAGCTGCGAAACGCATAAAAACAATTAGGAAACAAAATAATATATCTCCCGATCAATTTCAATTTGGAGCAAGAGAGATTCATTACCGTAGCGAGATGGCTCCTCCATTTCCGTGTCCATGCTCTTCTACCGGCGATTGAGAAAAAAAATTCAACGAGGAAAATATTTTAGGGTTTTTTTTTGTATGTGTGTGTGTGTGTTGAGAGTAGCTCTTCTTGTATAAATTATAATGGATGGAGTTTGTTTTTTTTATCACCTTTTCCATATAAGTTTATGAAATCTTCCTTTTTTTTATTGTTATACACTAGGGATTAAAGCCCCGCGCTTGCGCGGGACTGTTTGCATATATTTTTGGTTATTCATTATCATTTATATACTTTACAAACTGTGCTTTTAATGTTTTTCGTTTATGTTTTAATCTGTATATATGATATTGATGTTTATTTATTAAATATTTATACAAACAAAAAAATTTTGAGTGATTTTTTTTAAATGTTAGAAATAGTCAATACTTTAGTTTTTTTTAACATCAAAATCAATAATTTAGTTTTATATATAACTTATTTTTATTACTTAAATTTAACTGTTAGCTTTCAACAGTTAAACATTTTCCATGAAATTTTATTACATACACTATCTTTTAACATAATATATATTATTATGAATTTTAGACATTTTAAATTTTCAATACATTTTTTTCTTTTAAAAACAAAGCTCTTGCTTTCAAGAGTTAAACATTTTCCATGAAATTTTATTACATACACTATCTTTTTAAATAATATATATAATTATGAATTTTAGATATTTTAAATTTTCAGTACATTTTTTTTTTAAAAAACAAATCTCTTGCATCTACTGTTAAAAATTAACTGTTCAACCGATATTTATTTATTTTTGTCTTTTATATTTTTATTAATCATTTCTTTTTTAAATACATTTTTATATTTTTGGTTGAATAATAAATCATTCAATGATATTATGAAAGTGTATGTATTAATTAAATCATTCAATGATATTATGAAATTTGTATTTTTTTTTTGCTGATGTGAACACTCTAAGAGGAGAGAGCAACTCCCTAATTATATATAAGATTTCCTTGTGAGATAGAGGTAAAGATGTCAACAATATATATGAAAGAGTGGCATTGATGGATACAAGACCAAGAGAATACTTTAAAGAACAGCGCAGACTTTAAACAGTGGAAATCACAAAAACAGAGTTTAATACACAAAGATAATGCCAAACTGAAGACAGAAAACCAACGCCTCTTAACAGAAAAAGGCAAACTATAATTATGACAAATCATTCTTGTCGATCGAGCCCTGAATCGGCTAGTAGTGAATCAACCTATGACAAGCTTCGTCATCGGCATCTTCACCACCATCATCGGCATCTTTACCACAATTATCGGGATTGAAGAGTGTCTCATTGCGTTCTCCACGAGCTAAAAGGGCTCGATATTCGTCTCTGGGGATAGGCTTTCCTAAGACTTGTACGTCTTTCCAATACCATGCCCTCATTACACTAGGAATATTGACTTCTTCTGGTTTGACATCATCGGGGACCACTACGAAAACCCTGAAATTTACTGAATTCAGATTTTCAAGATAACGGACATACTCAGTCTTCTCCTTGATGTTTTTGGCCGCTACCACCACGTTACTTGGGAGAGGACAATGTTTCGGAGCGTCCAAAACCCACAAACCAATGTCTAGTAACATCTTGTTAAGTCTCGAATATTTATCACCTATAAAAATTAATGAATATAAACCAAGATCAAGATTACAGATACATAGGCGAAAATTCATATAAGATTAGGGTTTTAAGAGGAAATCAATCTTACTTCTCTTTACGAAGGTGAATCTATGCATGTCGAGAAATTCAGTCGTGAACTGAATTTCCCCACCATAAACCCTGATTGACACCTCAGTCTCGTTATACTGTTTCTTAAAAATAGATTTGACAATCTCACGAATTCCGCGACCTGATTGGGGGAATGGGAAATCATCCACGTCCCAGAACACGCCTGTCTTCCCAACTGCCTTCAGGGCACCTTGTGAAACCGAAACCGAATCCGTATTGGTTACGGTCGGGGAACCTCCATCAAGCAGAACATCCCAACGCCACACTAAGCTTGCAGAATCTCTAGGTGGAAACTGGGAATCATCAGGCACCACAAAGAAGACCCTGCAACCTCTCATTCTCATAGCCTCCATTACATCGAACAACTCAGTGTCTTGATCTGGCATGTCTTTTGAAGCGATGAGTAGATTTACATTATCGGGACGAGGCGTGATGTG